TATATATATATATAAAACTAATGATGTGCTACTTTGGGCATATAATTACACTTGAGGGTAGGTTGGTAGAGATCCTGATGAGTAATAAAATTGAAATGGGTATTTGCATGCTTCTCACTTGGTCTTGCTGGTGTGGAAAAATATAACTAATAAAAAGGAAACAAATACAATAAAAAACTTAAATTTTAAAAAGACAAGTATGGATCAATATATACATAACCTAGCTTGCTATAGTTATGAAGAAAGTTTTAATGCTACAAAATATATTGAAAAGAAAGTCAAAACTACAAAAACTAAATTACTTGAAATTTACAAAATGTTATCACTGCTTTGGCTCAGACTAACATAATTACAGTATTGGTACTGCTGTTGCACAAAAATATAGCCAATAATTTCCAAATACAATATGAAATTTAAACATTTTTTATTCTACTTGATAATTATTGTCCCAAAGCTACTCTATCTTATAAATTATTATTCATTCTGCAGTTTTATAACTTTTTTCTTTAATATCTCACTTTTTTATAGTAAGTGAAAATCACACAAACTACAGTGTTGGATTTTGATATTGTTGTACACTATACACTGATCTGTGATGCACCAATCAACAGACCAATACGAAAACTATGAAGGAATAACTTAAATGAGAATATGCCCTATTAATCTAGTTTTTTTATGAAGTATGTATTTGGCTGTATACTGTAGTGTCAAAACTGTGTTACTATCTTAAATCTTTAGTACTCGTCTCTTGGATTTATAATTTTGGACAACACCACTCACCTTAGTCAAAATAAAAGTAATATATTTAGAAAGCATAGCAAATAGATTGATGCAATACACACTCAAATGCTTATTAAATAAAAAAGTAATAAATTTTTGTAATGGACCAATTTTCTTTGTTTTTCAGTGAAAGTAAAATGTTGATTCATGTAGCACATAGATAAAACATTATAAATATAAAATCTTAAAAACACAAAAAAATATTTAGAAAGCTATAAGAAAGAAAACATTTGGTAAATTTTTCTTCTAAATTTTCTTAATATCCATTGAAGATATTTCGTGTTAAAGTGATGAGTTGGTTTTCTCTTTCTCACTTATAGTTTGAAAAATTGCTTTTTTTTCATAGGTGTATTTATTCAGTGGGTTGCATATGATATATAAGAACCAGATATAAGTATTGTAAAAATTTAAATTTTGAGTCTTTCTTTTAAGATGTGCTACACACAAAATTTTAAACATTATACTTGTAAAAGCAGTTACTATGCTTATAAAAACAGTCTTATGAAGGAATATATTATACTTGTAAAGACAGTCTTATGAATAAAATACATTACACTTGTAAAGGCAGCTTTATGAATAAAACACATTAGGCATATAATGGTAGTCTTATGAATGAAACAAATTATGCTTACAAAGGGAATTTTATGATTGAAAAGGGTTGGTAGTGTTAGAGCCAGGGAAACTATAATTCATCAGTATAGCAGAAATTCTGCACTATGTGTACATTTCAGTAAATTTTTATATACATATTTTTTCTAATGTAATTCCTTTCATTAACGGTTGAGAGAAGTAAGGTAATTACATAAATTGTGTTATCTTTATATAACTTAAAATAGTTATTTGAAGTACCTTCAGAACTTCTAAAATACTTTAAGAATGACAATGAGTTAAAATATACATTCTGTATTCAAAAAAGGTATGCAAACTAGATGGTAGTAAACTAAAGTCTGTTGTAACCTGTACATAATTTTGTTTTGTCAGGTTCCCATCGTTCGACTGTCAAAGGACAGGTCCAACTGCCAACAGAAGGGACTCGTACCTGTACTACTAGTAGAGGTATACATAGATACAAGTGGTGAACTTTACCTTAAGGTTTGGTTAAGTCACATCTAGTCCAAGACTCAAGGAAATATTTACTTTTTTTAGTTGATATGTAATATTATGAGTTTTGTCAGCTACTACATATTCACGTGAAGCTATTTCAACTTTTCTGAATGTAAGATTTCATTAGAACAGTGTAACAGAATTGAAAGGCCTGTCCATGACCCCATGTAACTCTCAGCTTGTTTTTGAGACCATATAATAAGCATGGTAGAATTGTCATTAGGCATTTAAGTAAGTTTTTTTAATAGATGGGAACATTCTCATTTCTTTAGCTTTCTTCATTTTGTTATTGTAATATTAAAATGGTTCAAAGTGTTGGTTATTAGTTTAGCTAATAAAGAAACACAGACATTTCTTTTATAAAATACACCATTTTTTTATTAGAAAATGTCTAATGAATTATTTTCTCAGGCAGGTAGAAAACATGCTAATAAAAATGTGTGTGTTTTGCTTTCCAGTGTGATAATATACAACATTTTAACTTACTGTGAATTCTGAAGAATGTTAATTTTCTGTAACAGGTTTTCTTTGAAACTAGTTTTTGCATGAATAGAAGTTATTATGTTGGAAAAGACAGACAGACATATTTTATTCTACATTTGGTTGTATGCTTAACTTAGCAGAAATGTAGTGTTTCTGATTTTAGCAAAAAAAAAAAAATAATGCAAATATGTATTGGGTTTAAAGAAAAAATAAATAAAATATTAAACTAATATTGATTTGTGCCAAAGAAAACATATATACTAGCCCCCTTTTTATTAAAAATTCTAATGGTAAGATTTTTAAAGAAGAAAAACTCGGATATAGACAAAGTTTAATGTTAGATAGTATTAAGGAAATTAGCATTATTTTAAACTGTCATTGCACAGGTGGATGGTAGTGTTAATTAACTATTTCTTTTAGTATGCAAACTAACACTAAATAAATGGTAGTATTAATTAGATATTTCTGTTACTGCATTACCTGCCACTAAATAGCTGGTAATATTAAGAAAATTTTAAGGTTTTTAATGAATATGAGGTACTGTTAACACTAACTAGTTACAATTTAAAATAGCAACTAAGGAGAGATGTTTAGCTTGTAATAAAAACAATCAGGAGATTTACATTAGAGATTAACAGCCATTAGAAGTTTCCCTCAATGTGAGTAGTGCTCAACAATGATCATCAATCTTTTCTCTAACAAACGAAACCTACTTCTTCATTTAACATAAATATATTCTACTTGAGTGTATAAGAGCAGTTTTAATCTATTATTTTTATTATGTCAGTGTTTGAAACACTGTACAACATTAACCACTTACTAGAAACAAATTGTAGGACAGTCATGTAAAAACTGACTGGCTTGTTTTGTACTAGCTAAAGGATTACTTTTGATTGGCCATATCTGTACCTCTGCACCAGAAGTGTACTCATGTTTGCAGGTGAATTATGAAGAGCTGAACAAATTAGGTATAAAGTGTATATGTGTTTAATTTTTTAAACAGATTTATGTATTAAAAATGTAGTAAAGGTTGAAAAGATACCTCTGTAGTGTAAATTTGTTACTTTTAGAAAAATTAATTAGACTTTTCTCT